TCCTCCCTGTCGCACACCGAGGCCAGTCGGAAGGGCGGGCAGCGCGTTTCGCCTGAGACTTTCTTACCAAGTATGGACTTGAAGCTTGAACATTGGGAACAGCTTCACAGATAGATGGAGGGCGGGTCGTTTTCAAAATGTGGCTCTCGCCGTAGCGACGCGCACACTCGTTCTTACAGTTTGCAAGGGCGTCACGGATTGAGGACAGGCCATTGTTTTAAATGTGGCTCTCGCCGTAGCGACGCGCACACACGTTTTTAAGATTTCCAAGAGTTTCAAGGATTCAGGGCAGATCGTTTTCAAAATGTGGCTCTCGCCTTAGCGACGCGCACACTCGGTTAAACGAATCGCAAGGTTTTCACGGATTGAGGACCGGTCGTTTGCAAACGGGGTCTCCCGCCTTGGTGCCGCGCACATTCGCTTTCAAAAAGTGCAAGAGTGCGTTTTCAGAATGTGGTTCCCGCCTTGGCTCCGCGCACACTCGCGTTAAACATTTCCGAAGCTTCACGGATTGAGGGCGGTTCGTTGTTTTGTAAGTGTGGTTCCCGCTTTAGCGCCGCGCACATTCTTTTCAAAGAATTGCAGGAATTTCGCTGGTTCTCAAGGTTAACATTCCACAACTGGCGTTCTGGAAGGATTTGGGATTTCCAGGGCGCAACAGTTACGTTGATTCGCGGTGTTGAAGCCCTGGGAATGGCGTTCTGACATGACTCTGGATCGCCAATACGAAACATTCAGTTGACTCGTGGCGTTGAAGTCCTGAGAATGGTGTTCTGGCACGCGTCAAGATTTTCACACGGTTGTCCCCAATGGCGCACGTCCTTTAATGGAAATGAACCCTTGTATGGGGCCTTTGAAGACGGAGCTTGGAGGGAGAGTGTGCGCCAACATCGTTGATGAGTCTTCGGCTTACAGAAGACCTCCTCGTCCTCCTCCTCCTCCTCCTCCTCCTCCTCCTCCTCCTCCTCCTCCTCCTCCTCCTCCCTCTCTCTCTCTCTCTTTCTCTCGCAGCTCTCTCCCTCATCAGCATCACCTTCTCTCTCTTTCTCTCTCTCTCTCTCTCTCTCTCTCTCTCTCTCTCTCTCTCCCTCTCTTTCGCAGCAGCAGCAGCAGCAGAGTAGCAGCAGCAGCAGCAGCAGCAACAGCAGCAGCAGCAGCAGCATCGGCTGTCCGCCATCCGCGCCCGCGCGCGCGCGAGCTCCCGCGCGCGGGCGCTCGACCGACGCGGGCAAGCACCTCCTCCTCCTCATCATCATCCTCCTCCTTCTCATCATCATCATCATGATCATGATCATCATCATCATCATCATCATCAGCATCATCATCATCATCATCATCATCATCATCACCATCACCATTATCATCATCATAAACATAATCAGCATCATCATCATCGTCATTAGCATCATCATCATCATCATCATCATCATCTACATCATCATCAACATCATCGTCCTCCTCGTCCTCCTCCGTCATCCTCCGTCATCCTCCGTCCTCCTAACCTCCCGGTCTGGTGTCCTCTCCGTCCACTGGCCCCGTGACGCCGAGCCGCTTGAACGTGGCGGCCACGTAGGCCCCTCCATAGATGGCCTTGGCGAACTTGGGGCTGCGCACCGCGTATGGGAACCCCCTTCGTGGGGGACCGCCAGTGACACATCTGGCACTGATGCTGGCCAGGCCCCTCCCGGATCCAGGATCGCATGCGCAGACCCTCCTCGCTAGGGGGCAGGGGAGTTCTCTGAACTGGTCCAGGGCCCGGGAAGGGCCCGACCAAAGCTGGCGCCATTGTGCAGCTGGCGATGCTCGACCTCCAGCGCAGGCCAGCCCCCACTGCGCCCGCTGCGGCGCCGGCATTCTCGTCTGAGCCGGCGCCCCCAGGGGCCATGATCCCGCTCCGGCCGCGGGCGATGGGGGCGGCGTCGAAAGCTCATCGGCGCGTGACAGGCGCACTGGCCGACGGAAAGAGGCCAGAGAGAAGAGGACGGGCGAAGAGGCAGGGAACGAGAGCGGGGCGGACGGGCTTCTGCAGAGAGATTGCTCATCTTGTGCCCAACCCCCTCCCCCTGCCTCAACTCCTCCGTCCTCCCACTCCTTGTGCGTCCTCCTCCCCCTCCTCCTCCGTCCCTCCCTCCCTCTCTCCTGATTACTACCCCTCCTCCTCCTCCTCCTCCTCCTCCTCCTCCTCCTCCTCCTCCTCCTCCTCCTACTCCTCCTCCCCCTCATCCTCCTCCTCCTCCTCTCCTCCTCCTCCTCCTCCTCCTCCTCCTCCACTTCCTCCACTTCCTCCTCCTCCTCCTCCTCCTCCTCCTCCTCCTCCTCCTCTCCACCTCCTCCTTCCTCCTCCTCCTCCTCCTCCTCCTCCTCCTCCTCCTCCACCTCCTCCTCCTCCTCCTCCTCCTCGCTCCTCGCTCCTCCTCGCTCCTCGCTCCTCCTCGCTCCTCGCTCCTCGCTCCTCCCCCCTTTCAGTGCTGCCAGCCGAGCAACCCAGGACTGCACGAGCCAGGAGCGGGCCGCGGCATCCAGGGCACTCGGGCCCTCCGCCCGCCGAGCCGGCACGGGGCGCAGCACGTGCCCCTCGGGCCGTCCGAGGCTCCGTCGGGGCAGCAGGGCCCTGGTGCGGCGCGGAGGTGCGCCCCAGCTCGCCCGCGCCTGCCAGCCGAGCGACGTGAGCGGCACGCTGCGCCCTGCTGCTGGCCCTTCTGCGGGCCCTTCGGCCCCACTGCTGGCCCTTCTGCTGGCCCTTCTGCTGGCCCTTCTGCTGGCCCTTCGGCGGGAGCCCTGCTGGGAAGTGCGCCCTTCTGCTGACCCTGCGGCCCCACTCGCCACTGCAGCACGTCGGCCCGCTTCCGCAGAAAGTCTGGCAGCATCAGAGCGGGTGGTCGCTGCCGGCGCGTCGGCAGCAGCAGGAGGGTCCTCCGCACGGGCAGTACGTTGGGCGTGCCTGCAAAGCTGAACAGGCCGCCGATCTGATGGGTGCTGGCTCTGACTTGGTAACTGGAGGTCGATGTAGTCCAAGCGCACGAGGATGCTCCTTCAGCTCCACGTCGCCGCGATCGTCACTAGTGTTCACCATGCCGCAGCCACTTCGTACTCATGCGCACGGCAGAGCGCTCAAAAAGATAGGTTGTCTATCCGCAGCGCTGACGGCCGACATCCACCGCATGCAAATCTTGTACAGATCTCGTTACCGTTTCTATGATTGACAGTGTCCTTCACACGAAGATGCGAAACTGAACTCTTGCGCTCCAGCACGGCACTGTGGGGCCTGGAGGGGACCCGCTCAAAACGAGCCTCCAGCACTTCGGGCTTCCTCTGCGACGTGCCCACAGGAAGACTGCTCCACGACGACGCGTTCGTGCTGGAGCGCCACGAGCTGTGAAGGCCCCCCTCCGAGTCCTGCGGCCTCGCCTGAGGCTTCGCTGCTCTTCACGAGCCGCGAGCTACTCGGGGCCCTGCTTCTCCGCCGGTGGCGGCCGAGCACCTCGCTCCCCGCGGGCCGGAAGCAGGCCATTCCTCGAATCGTTCCAGCCCTCGCCCGGGGTCTTGCTGCTCTGCTGGTGGCGGCCGAACACCACGAGCTCCGTGAGCTCCACATCCCGGATGAAGAAAGCGCCCGCGACCGCGAGGACGTTCTGCACCGACCAGCAGTGCTCGTCCCAGCCCATCCACGAGTCGAGCTCGGAGAAGTAGGAGCGGAAGAGCTCCGACCGGAAGAAGTCTGCCGTGCCGGCGTACAGGCAGGCGTAGATGTTGACCGGCAGGGACCCCCCTGGGGTCGTGTCCTGGTCTTGGAGGCGACTAGGGGGGTCTGAACTGGATGGGGCCCCAGAAAATCGATCAACAGGGGGGGACTAGGGGAACGAAAAATGACATAAACATAAAAACTCGGAGGTCCACGCGGATTTCTCGGATCCGCGTTGGACCCCCCTGGCGGCGGGCGCCGCCCCTGGCGCGCTCCGCGCGCCAGGGAGGGGGTCCAGCGCCGACCCGAGAAATCCGCGCGGACCTCCGAGTTCTTATGTTTATGTCATTCTTCGTTCCCCCAGGGACGAAGCCAAACATCCTCAAAATCTAACCCTGGACCCCGCAAAGGGTCCATCTGGTGCACTTGTTGCCCCCCGATCGGTTTTTGCGGCCGTCCCGGGGCCCGAACGCGGCCCCCGGAGACCGAAAGGGGCACGAAGCCTTGTCGTGCCCAGAAGCTCGAACAGCTTCCCCCCTCTGGCTGGCAGGAAACAGCGCTGGGCCACCTCAGACCCCCAACCGGCTCCAATCCCTCCTCCTCCTCCTCCTCCTCCTCCACCTCCCCTCTCCTCCTCCTCCTCCTCCGCCTCCTCCTCCCTCGAACCTCCTCCTCCTCGAACCTCTCCTCCTTCCCCTCCTCCTCCTCCTCCTCCTCCTGCCTCTCCTACGCTCCTCCTGGCCCTCCTCCTCCTCGAACCTCTTCCTCCTCCTCCTCCTCCTCCTCCTCCTCCTCCTCCTCCTCCTCCTCCTCCTCCTCCTCCTCCTCCTCCTCCTCCTCCTCCTCCGCCTCCTCGAAGTCCTCGTCCCACCAATACTGCACCAGCTCCGGGAGGTTCGCCTCGAGGCCCCTCGCGCCGACGAACTCGCGCGAGATCTCCGTGAAGTACACGGTGCGGTTCCACGCTGCCTCGGCGTGGATTTGCCAGTAGGCAAGCTGCCCCTGCTCCTCCAGCGGTACAATAAAACTGCACAAGCATCATGTTGTCCCCATCGCATTTAGGGCACACATTCCAAACATAACTTCGAGCACCCCGCGTGACAGCCCTTCAGTGCCGGTACTTTCTTTGTGACCAAGGCTAAAGCAGGCTGGAGCATCATAACACAAGCATGAGTTCGCTGCGGTCCGCGCGGACTTCTTGGACTCGCGCTGGAACCTCCTGCCTGGCGCGCCAGGAGCGCGCCGGGAGCGCGCCAGAGGCGCCGAGCGCCGATCCAAGAAAGCCGCCCAGGGCTCCCAAAGCGTATGCTTATGCCGTTATGCTTCCTCATCCTCCTCCTCCTCCTCCTCCTCCTCCTCCTCCTCCTCCTCCTCCTCCTCCTCCTCCTCCTCTTCCTCCTCCTCCGATCCTCGTACATGTGGCGCAGAGGGTCCCACGGCACCGGGTGCGTGAGGACGAAGTCCGTGTCGATAACCAGCATGCCCAGAAGACGATCATCGGGTCGGGAGGGTAGGGTCGGGAAGATACGGGGCACGACTCTGTGATAAGCACGCTCGACATACGCGATACTACAGATGACATGATCATCTCTCCCACCCGCATTCTCCCAACCCGATCATTGTCTTTCTGACATGTGCGTGAACGATGCCACGGCGTTCTGCCAATAGAGCGGCCCAGCCTTGAACCGCGACATCCGGCGGTAGCCCGCGGAGCAGTGGGATGCGCTGCTCCGCATGGGCAGTTCCAGGTGCTCCTGTAGAGGTCCCCCATATGGGGTCCGAGTACACCCCTGCTCAGAGTTTAGGAACTTGCAGGCTAAAAAATGGACTTCACTCGAATCATTGTCTTAACCAGCAGCTCAGGTTCACATATACGAACATTCCACTAAGACCAGAAGCTCCAATAAAACGCCCAGGATCCAGTCCAGATTCTTGAATCTAGTGAACGAAATCTGGGGTCCATTAACGTTGCTGCTTTTTCTTTGAAATCTCTGATGGGTGTACATGGGAGTATCGCTCCGCATCGCCGATGCATCGGCGATGCATCGGCGACGTCTGCGCTGCATCGTCGCCCTCGGCGTGGAGAACATCGGGCTCCACATCGAGCCGCATCCCTGGTGCATCGGCGATACGGCGCGATCCCCTGAACACATCTTCGGCGCCGAGCCCAGGCGAAAGAGCGACAGAGTGGGCCTTCTCAAAGGCTCGGAAAGCCTCGGGCCTGCTGACAAGTGTTCTAAGCCTCCCCCGAAGGCTCCGAAAGCTTCTCAGAAGGCGCGAGGGTTTCTGAGAAGCCCCGCCGCCCTCTGAGGAGGGCCTGCCCCTTCTCACTTTTCCCTGGGCTCGCCGCCGACATCTACTCCGACCCAATTTTTGCGCGACGGAAGAAAACCTGCCTTACGCGAGATGGCATGGCGACCTTGCACCGCGGCGTGCGCGGGCCGCCAGCACGGCACGCGCGACCTTGGGAGGGCGGCTCGCGCGGAAAAACGTCGGTGAAGACGACTCCGCTTCCTGCCGTCGCTCATTTTGGAGGGGGCCACATGCGAACCCTACCCCTACCCCCCACGATTTCTGAGGGGGAGGGTGGGGTTCACTTCGTTCGGGAGCTCTCGAGCGAAGTAAACCCCACCCTCCCCCTCAGAAATCGTGGGGGGTTAGGGGTAGGGTTCGCATGTGGCCCCCTAGGTTTGGAGGCCTGGATCCTGGCCGATCACCTCCACCCGCACGTCCAGCCGCGGGAAGCGGCTCGTCAGCGCCGCGGCCTGAGCCGGCGCGGAGCCCGCGTCGGCGAAGACGACCACGGGCCACTGCTCGCCGAGCTCCGCCAGCCAGTAGCGCTCCACGCTCTCCAGGGAGGCCCCGATCTCCTCTCGGGGGCGTCCAACCCGACCCCCTCGCGTCGTGAAAGTGGCAGCCAGAGCGCAACATCCCCAGGCAGCACTTGTAGAACGCGTGCTGGCCCCCGTGCGGGAGACGCTGGCCTTCATGACAGATAAGGGGGATCGTGCCAGGTTGTGTACCACATCGCTTGTAATGCGGAGGAGGAGGAGGAGGAGGAGGAGGAGGAGGAGGAATGAGGAGGAGGAGGAGGAGGAGATGAATGAGGAGGAGGAGTGAGAAGAGGAGGAGGAAGGAGGAGGAATGACGAGGCGGAGGAGCGGAAGGAGGAGGCTAGAGAGGGAGTCACGAAACAAAAACGTGACGGCCGTGAGGCGGCCGAACTGGCGTGGCGGCTGCGCCGTGGGAGGCGGAGGCAGAGGCGCAGCAGGCGCAGTAGGGGAGGAAGCAGGTGTGAGGCAGGGGTCCTCCTCCCTCCTCCTCCTCCTCCTCCTCCTCCCTCCTCCTCCCCACCTCCTCTCCTCCTCCTCCTCCTCCTGGCCCCTCCACCTCCTCCTCCACCTCCTCCTCCTCCTCCTCCTCCTCCTCCTCCTCCTCCTCCTACCCTCCTCCTCCTCCTACTCTTACTCCTTCTCCCTGCCCCTCCTCCCCTCCCTCCTCCTCCTCCTCCTCCCCTCCTCCTCCTCCGCCTCCTCCTCCTCCTCCACCTCCTCTCTTACTCCTTCTCTCTGCCCCTCCTCCTCCTCCTCCTCCTCGCTCCTCCTCCTCCTCCTCCTCCTCCTCCTCCTCCCAGGGGGAGGGAGGCGGGAGGAGGGATGAGCCAATGGGTCGGACCACTCTGGGCGCAGCATCTCGGAGCTCAGAGTTGCGAGGATGTCTCAGGCGACACGGGCCGGACCACCTCGCGCCCGGAGCCCAGAGTTGCGAGGATGCGTCAGGCGGCGCCCAGGCTCCTCCCGAGGCACAATTCGACAACAGAAGTAGATCAAATAGTTCGTTTGGGCCCAACCCCCCCTTCCTCCTCCCTCCTCCCTCCTCCCTGTTGGAGCTCAAAGATGAGAGGATGTCTCTGGCGAAACGGACCGAACCATCTCGCGCGCGGCACCTCCGAGCTCAGAGTTGCGAGACTGCCTCAAGCGAATCGGGGCAGACCACCTCTCGCGCGGCACCTCGGAGCTCAGAGCTCAGGCGAAACGGACTGGACCACCTCGCGCGCAGCATCTCGGAGCCCAGAGCTGCGAGGATGTCTCCCGCGAAACGCGCCAGACCACCTCTCGCGCGGCATCTCGGAGCCCAGAATCGGCAGAACATCTCATGCGAGACAGGCAAGACCATCTCTTGTGCGGCATCTGGGAACCAGGAGCTGCGTGACTGCCTCAAGCGACACGGACCGGATCACCTTGCGCGCGGCATCTCGGAGCTCAGAATTGCGAGGAAGTCTCATGCGAAGCGCGCAGGACCACCAAGCATCTCCAAGCTCAGAATGGCGAGGGTGTCTCAGGCGAAGCGCGCCAGACCACCTTTCGCGCGGGTCTCAGGCGAAACGGGCCAGACCATCTTACGCGAGGCATCTCGGAACTCAGAGTTGCGAGGCTAACGCGCCGGACCACCTCGCGCGCGGCATCTCGGAGCTCAGAGATGCGAGAAGGCCTCAAGCGACACGGACCAGACCCCCTCGCGCCCAGCATCTTAGAGCTCGGAGATGCGAGGATGCCTCAGGCGAAACGAGCCGGGCTCCCTCGCGCGAAGCATTTCGCAACCCAGTCGGCAGGACGTCTCGTGCGAAAAGGGCCGGGCCACCTTGCGCGCGGCAGCTCGGAACTCAGGGTTGAGAGGATGTCTCAAGCGAACCGGGCCAGACCACCTCGCGCGCGGCATTTCGAAGCTCAGAGTCGGCAGGACGTCTCATGAGAAACGGGCCGGGACACCTTGCGCGCGGCATCTCGAAACTGAGGGTTGCGAGGATGTCTCAAGGAAAACGCGCCGAACCACCTCGCGCGCGACATCTCGGAACCTAGGACTGCGGGGATGTCTCAGGCGAAACGCCCAATCCCGGCCAACTCCATCAAGAGTTCCGAGGGTGTCTCGAGCGAAACGGCCTGGACCGCCTGATGTCTTGAGGATGCCTCCGCGCGCCCGTCCCCCGGCCAGAACCAGCTACAGCCGCAGCAGCACCCCGTTCCGCGAGCTGTGGGGTGAAGAGCAAGCTCCCGGGAGAGAAAATGAGCCCTGGGGTCCAGGAGTGGAGTCGAGAGGTCTTGAGGATGTCTCTGCGCGCCCGTCCCCCGACCGGAACTAGTTACGGCCGCAGCAGCACCCTGTTCCGCGAGCTGCGGGGTGAAGAACACAGGCTCCCAGAAGGAAAACACGAGCCCCGGGGTCCGGGAGTGGGAGACGAGAGGTCCGCGGGGCCGCACCGCGAGACAAAAATCGTGACGTCGGACGTCCAGGGGTCAGGTCGGGCAGGTCCCCCATACGGGCGAATTTTGGACGGAAGATAATAAAAAAATATCCCAAAAAAATCTCAAACAGTGAGGAAATAGTTACAAAATCGTCCCCCTGACTTTTGTTTATTACTATCTTGGGATTTTCCTCCTCCTCCTCCTCCTCCTCCTCCTCCTCCTCCTGCCCGACTTAACTCTAGGGAGGGCGGATGGCGGGGCGCACACGGCGGATGCCGAGGCGGCCGAGCTCACGGAAGAACGGCGACGTGGAGGTGGAGGCAGAGGAGCCGCAGGAGGGAGGCGAGAGGAGGCAGGTGGGAGGCAGGTGGGAGGCAGGTGGGAGGCAAGGGTCCTCCTCCTCCTCCTCCCCTCCCTCCTGCCTCCTCCTCTCCTCCTCCTCCTCCTCATCATCATCATAATCATCATCATCATCTCATCATCACCACCACACACCACACACCACCACCACCACCACCCCATTTTTTCAATCCACCACATCATCTTGCTATCATCATCTTTGCTCATTCATCATAATCATAATCATCTCCTCCTCCTCCTCCTCCTTCTCCTCCTCCTCTTCCTCCTCCTCCTCCTCCCCTTCGCAATTACTCAATATGAATACTACTATCCCTCTTCCCCTGATGACGGCCTGGGAGTGTCCGACCCCCCCCCCGCGTACTGTTTTTTACACACAAGTTTCCCCGGAGTTGGGTTTTCGCCTGC